GACACTCCAACCAACTGAGCCACACCAGCCAGGACTGCACCACAACTTTTTAATCCATTTGGGGACTAAATGGATGGGGACTTGGGTTGCTTCCATATCTTGGCTGTTGTAAATAATGCTGCAATGAACATAGGGATGCATAATATTTTTTTTTGTATTAGTGTGTTGGGTTTCTTCAGATATATACCCAGAAGTGAAATCATTGGGTCATAAGGCAGTTCCTAGTTTTTGAGGATCTTCTATACTGTTTTCCACAGTGGCTGCACCAATCTGTATTTCCACCAACAGTGCACAAGGGTTCCCTTTTTCTCCACATTCTCACCAACACTTGTTTATTAATTTGTTGATGATTGCCATTCTGACAGGTGTGAGGTGATACCTCATTGTGATTTTAGTTTTTTCCGATACTAGTGACATTGAGCAATTTTTCATATTGGGTTGGCCAAAAAGTTTGTTTAGTTTTTCCTGTATGATGGCTGTGATGGTGATTAGTTGTCTTTAACTTCATTCAAAACAGTGTTGTTAAATTGCATTGTGACAGCTGTCATAACAGTGTGCACTTAAAAAAACCTTAAAATTGGTGAATTTTTGTGTAGCTAGTCATTTTAATATTGAAGATAGAAGATATGTAACATTTTTGGTGTATTATGCTTTATTATTTCAATAAAGGTAAAACACACCTGAAATGCAAAAAAAAAACAAAAACCAAAAAACTTGTGTATGGAGAAGGGGCTGTGACTGACGAACATGTCAAAAGTGGTTTGTGAAATTTCTTGGTACTATAGACATTTTGCCAAATAATTCCTTGCTGTGGGGCTGTCTCATGTGTTGGAAGATGTTTAGCAGCATCCTGGCCTCTACCCACTAAGAGCTAATAGCAGGAGATGGCCAACATACTCAAAATATCCAAATCAAGAACGTTATTGGTGAAAATGAACAATGTGTTTTTTATGGGGAAAAAACCATACCGACATTTTGGCCATCCAGTATTTAATTGGCCAAAATGTCTTTGTAGACATGTCTGTTCAGGTCTTCTGCCTTTTTTTAACCAGATTGTTTGTTTTTTTGGTGTTGAGTTGTATGAGTAGTTTATAGAGATTTTGGATATTAACCCCTTATCTGATATATCATTGGTGAATATATTTTCCCATTCAGTAAGTTGTCTTTTCAGTTTGTTGATGGTTTCCTTTGCTGTGCAAAACTTTTTGATGTATTTGTATTTATTTTTTGTTTCCCTCACCTGAGGATATACATTAGGAAAAAATACTGCTGAGAGAAATGTAAGATTTTACTGCCTGTGCTTTCTTGGAGTTTTATGGTTTTTGAGTCTCACATTTAAGTCTTTCATCCATTTTCAGTTTATTCTTGTATGGTGTAAGAAGGAGGAAACACCCTTTTTTTAAAAAATATTTTATTTATTTATCTTTAGAGAGGAAGGGAAGGAGAGAGGGAGAGAAATATAGAAATATCAGTGTATGGTTGCCTCTCATTAGTCCCCTGCTGGGAACTGGCCTGCAACCCAGGCATGTGCCCTGACTGGGAATTGAACTGCGATCATGTGGTTCGCAGGCCCATGCTCAATCCACTGAGCTACACTAGCCAGGGTGAAACAGTGTTTCTTAAAAGGACGTTTTCAGTTTGGGAAATGTGAAGAGGGTACTCTTCCTGTACGTGTTGGCTCACGGACTCATTTTTGTCACTGTTACTATAGGGACAAGCTCTGGGGGGTCTGTGTCTCCATCCTGGCTCTGCTGCCTCGAGTCCTCAGGTTGATGCTGCAGAGCCTGCGGGTGAACAGAGCTGCTCCTGAGGAGCTGCCCGTGGTGGGCCAGCTGCTCCGCCTGCTGCTGCAGCACGCACCCCTCAGGACTCACATGTTGACCAATGCCATCTTGGTGCAGCAGATCATCAAGAATATCACGGTAAGAAGCACGGAACGAGGGTTTCGTACTGTGAGGACTAGGAAGGATTCAGGGGAAAGGCATGCGGGTGCACAGGGTTCCTGAACATTCACCAAACTGCTGGAATTAAGCCCAGTGTGGTGGTTTCCAGGGTTTCTCCTGTAGTCTAGTCCCTGACTGTCACTTCACCTGGGGTATTTCTCTCATCCCGGGGTCATCCATAAAACCTTAAAATACTCAAACTCATTAAGGTGGCAGGCATTCACTGCTACCTGGATTCTGAGAGAGACTAGTAACTGTGATAGTTAGGCAGGTTTTTTTTTTTTTTTTAAGATTCTTAAAAAATTTTTGGAAGGGGAGAGGGAGAGAAACATCAATGTGTGGTTGCCTCTTGCACACCCCTGCTGGGAACTGGCCTGCAACCCAGGCATGTGCCCTGACTGGGAATTGAGCCGCTACCCTTTGGTTTGCAGGCCTGTGCTCAATCCACTGACCTACACCAGCCAGGGCAGCAAAGTTTTTTTTTTTTTTTAACTTTATCCAAGCTTGGTTTCCTAGGCATAGAAATGGGACTGACAGTAACTCTGTTGGGTTTGGGTGACCATTAATGAGATCAGCCAAGTAAAGTTTTTAGTGTAGCTGACATTTCTCAGTTATTCAACAAATTAGGAAATTTAGCAGGAATAAAGTTGAGGCCAATTTCTCGTTAGTCCCTGGAGAGCACGAAGTTGGAGAAAGGAAGTTGCGGGCTTCAGCTTTGTCTAGTGGTTGGTTCTCTGTTTTCAGTTGCATTTTTTTTTTTTGGTGGGGGCAGTTATGACTCCATTGGTGTTTTTACTTTGGAAGGATCAGGGTGTTTTTTGTATAGCTTTTTGATTTGGGGGCTATTCATTGGTATATGTAATTGTAATTCAGAAATAGTAGAAGGAAGGGCAGTTAAGAATCTGGATTACTCAGACTGGACAAGCATCCTACCTCCTCCGTAAGGAAGACAGTGACAGAAGTCAGTTGACCCTGTGCAAAGGTGGAGACTAGAATGCCGGAGGAGGAATTTTGGAGTGGGTGGTAAATCGCATCAATCCCTAGCATTTGTGGGAGGGATCAAAGCCAAACAGAAAACCATCATCACTTGTACTTACAGATTTCACTAGGAATTTTCACTGCCTGTAGTAATTCCAGTAAGGTTTCCCGTGGTGATTTACACATGGGATACTGTTGCAGTGGCTCTGAGATGTTTGGATGTGAAAATCATTTCAGGAATGGCAAGTTGAGTGGAATTCTCAATCACTCTTGTTTCTCTCTGCAGACACTGAAGAGTGGAGGTGTTCAGGAGCAGTGGCTCACGGACTTACATTATTGCTTTAACGTGTACATTACTGGGCATCCTCAGGGGCCCAGCATGTTGAATGCAGTTTATTAAAGAGGCACCACGGCACTTCCTGTTTAAAATTGTTTATTCACCTCTAATTTTGAAGAGAGACTGATGTAATAAATGTCATTAAAGCTGAACTTTTAAAGAAGTTGTTTATGAACCTTCCTTTGCACTAAAGTAGGAGAATAATGCATGCAGGCTGGCTTCCTGGACTGGCGCGTGATATGTGGTAGTATGTTTTACATTTCATAGGAGCTGAATATTTACAAAATTCAGAGTGATAACGGGGTAGTACCATTTACAAAAAATAGGCTAAATCTTTGTGATCCTATCAAAGCAAACCTCATTCTTTATGTTCTTAGCTCCAGGTCATTCGGATAGCAGGACGCAGTTTTTTGTTTTGTTTCGTTTGTGAGTGGTCGGTTTGATCCATGATGACATTGAACTTCTCCCTGTGGGGGTGGTATTTACAGAGGTTTTGTAGCCCTCAGATTAGGGGCACAATGTGAAGACAGTGCTACAGTGGTTTGGGATTTCCTATGCCTGCGTGGTGGCTGGTTTGATTGAGGTAACTGCTCTCGAAAGTGATTTTCTAACCCATCATAGTTCTTAAAAGATAACTGGCTATATGTCATGATTTCTGATATATTCATTTTCCTAAGTATGAAATAATTTTAACTAGCAGACTAAAAAATCCAGGGGGTTAACACTTTATTGCTTCCTATCTCTTGCTGTCAAGACCAGGGTGTCAGTAATCTTAAGAAAATGGGAGCAGCCCTGGAAGTGCTTGTGAGCCTACTATGTCACTGTTTGTGCCTGTCTATATTCCTACATTAGCTTTGTCCTTAAAAATGTGCAAAAATCCATAAGCCCCCGAAACCCTCAATCACTAGTTTTCATTTAAACCAGGTATTCTTAGAGAGCTGGAATGTGTGTAGTTACAGCATTTTCCTGTCAGTAGGAAGGGCATTTTGATAAGATTGCTCCCCTCTACAGGTCAGACAGAAAGTACAAGTGGAGTGTTAAGGCCTGAACTGATACCTTGTGTGTAAACCGTGTGGTCTGTGCACCTGCCTGACTGCTTTCCCTGGTGTCGTGTGACAGCAGAACTGCCGTTCAGAGGATGTGGCCCCAGCCTGTGGCCTTCAGGGGCTCATGTGAACTGTGATATGTGAGAAATCAACAGGTGAACAGAACACCTGTTGTGGTCTTATAGTTAATTTCTAAACACATATGCTGGGTCTAACTCTTAAAACCGTAATGTTGGAATAATGGGTTGTGGTGTCTGTAATGAATTTGTTGTGTTAGATTCCAGAAAAAAAGTGACCTGAAGGGCCACTGTAGAATAGGCTCCTCCCCCTCTCATTTAGGTTCTTCACTGAGGCAAAAACTCCAGGCCTGCACCAGCTGGCTGGCAGAAACCCCAGCCCAGCGGCCTTCGTGCTCTTAGTTTTCGTTAGGTTTTACTGTGGTTTTAAGTTTTTTCTAGCTATCCTGACTGAGGTGAAGGCAGACATCTAGGCGGTTTTGCGTAAATGTAGTCTACCCTTGTCTTAATAGCACAGGTTAAAATGATTTCCAAACAATGTAGTGTAAGAATAGAAAGAAATCATTCTGACATTTTCTTTCCGTTGTTACCACGTTTCCAGGCTAACGAGGCTCTGGGCATGGGTACTGCAGTTTACCCCAGATGTGAAGGGTAATCAGCAGAGAATTAGAACCCCCTGCTAGCGGTTCCAGTTACCCCGGACGCGGTCTTCCTCCCCAGGCAGTCGGGGCTTTGTCTTCTTTTTTGATTGAGTGGCTGGTTGCAAGTTGTAAGAAAAATTCTTAGATCTTCCACTGTTCTCAAGGAGCTGTATACACTGCAAGCTGCTCACTGTTAAAAACAAATACCCAGGGGGAGTTTAGGTTAATTTTAAATGCTGAAGCTGAGAGTTTATTGGTGGTACGGAAACGGAGTTTAGTGTTGGACTATACCTGGCATTAAACAAGGAGACGGCCAGTGTACTATAGTGACAGGAGGGTTTATCAGCCATGCATGTTCCATCATCTTAAAGATACATGGCACCTCTCAAGGAAGAACCTTGAGTGGGAGGGGTGGGTACAAATCTAGGCCTCCCGCTGGCCTAGAACAGCTGGCATATCTTTCTGTGCATCTCTCCAGTACAACAGTACTAACACATACGCACATATCTCAACTCCACATACCACACACATGTCTATAGTCCATTTTGGAAAATAGATTTGTTCCAAAACTATTCAGATGATAGGCTCATAGACATACCGAACTTGAAATGGATTTTTTAGGCCTCTTCGTGATTTAGAAATTATAAAATTAGAGGACGCCACAGTTGCAAAAATTAGTGGTGCACCCAACCCTCTGATTTAACAAGTCAGGATGTTGAGGCCCCAAACAGTTTAGAGACCTTGCGGAGACTGTTCTGCTGTTCTGTTACGTGCTGCTAATAACTTCCTGTGGAGCAAAGGAGAATGTGAAAGGTGAGTAGTTTTAAAAGTTACAAATGTATCTTTTTTTCTCCTGGTTTTAATACTGTTACTTCAATAAAATTACTTTAAAGTGAACTGTTTTGTAACTTGCACATTTTTTGGCTGCCTTTACTGTGTCAAGTCTTGTTTTCATTTGCCTACCCCACTGTACGTGGGCTGGAATATTCTGCATTCATATAAGAGGGTACCGTTACTGGTAATCACTTAAGCCATGGTAACTGCATCAATCAGAATGGATTTTTAAAGAGGAGCTCTTTTAAAGACCTGGACCCCCAGGTTTAGGAGAGGTTATTCTGTGTGCTTGTACACACAGGTCATTGCTATGCTCCTGTTCTTTGTGTGGTTAGTAGGGGTGATGGGGAAGACTAAAGAGACCAGGGATTATTAAATTCTTTGGAATATGAGTAGAGAAGAAGCCTGCGGGTGCTGTTACTTTTCCTGTGTCCAGCTTGCTTTCTGCCCCCTCACAAGAGGAAACGGCTAACACAGCCACTCCCCACGATGGGCCTTAAATAAAAATTGTTGTGTGCGGACAAACATAGAAGAGAAAAAGAGTAACACAAAAGAACAAAAGAAAAAAAAAAAACAAAATAAGGAAATTATTTATAGACATGTTTTCTGGATGAAACACAGGATGCAGCTAAACCAGGAGTGTCAAACTAATTTCACCAGGAGCCGCATCAGCCTTCAAAGGGCCAAATATAGTTGTGGGACCGTATAAATGTAACTACCCCGTAAATAGGGACAAGGGGCTCAGTGCTGCCACAAGACAGAGACAAGGTGCAGGGCCGGATTCAGCCCACAGGCCTTGGGTTTGCTACCTGTGAGCTAAACTAGCTAAGCGGCTCTATCTGACCATCCGCCTTATTCACTGGTTAATGGTTAATGGGGATGAGTGAGCCTAATAAAACCTGTGTTCCTCCGAGTTGAGGCTTTGGAAAAGATCCTCTTCAGTCCTTATCCTCTTTGAAGCCAGTATGAATTATACTTCTGCACATATGAAGTCCTAAGAAACAGGCATTTCTTTCAAAATTTTTTATTCTGTTCTTTAACTGTGAGTCCTTTCAAAACCTCTTATACTGCTAACCACCATCTTTTAAGATTTCTGGTAGTACTGGAGTTTTCTTGAGACAAGGTTTAAAAATGATTAATATTTGTCTAAATGCTCCTCTGGTAGTTACGTCTGACAGTTCTTTTGAAACTTCTTAATTCACTTAAGTATAAGTGTTTTTTTGTTGGTTTTTTTTTACTAGAACCATGGGTCTTGATTCCTTTAAAAGTTTCCAGCTCCTGCACCCACCATTCCTTGATCAACCTGTCTATATTACGTGCGTTGCCTGACTTATTAAAGACTTGGCAGGAATTACTCTCCCCCTTCAAGTCTTCCCCCATCAAAAACTAAATGAATGTTAAAGTTCGTGCTGACAGTCACCGTTCACCTCCGCAGCTGCACTCTGATCCTGCAGGACGACTGGAGCTGGGGGGGAGGGGGGCGTTGTCACAGCACCCACGGGAATCACTGGACCTGGCATTAACTGCTGACAGCACTGAACTTATCACCCAAGTTTAATGCTGGTGTGAACGAAGGGCCCTCAGTAAAACACCTTTGTTTTGCAGCTGAAAAGAAAGTCCCCTGAGCTGTGCTGTATGAGTGAAACTGCACAGTTGAGCCTGAGCAAGATAAGTCATTAAATATTAATGTCTTCCCTGTGAGGCCCTAGAAAGGCAAAAGCCAGATTCGTGGTTAAGAACCTTCCAGCCATTAGGAAGGAGCTGGAGGATCTTAATGTGAAACCAAAATGGAACAAGAACTCCCAAGGCATGGCTTGGAAGAATAACAGTCTTTTCACTTCCCCCTTCCTTTATGTGAACAAGTACGTTCAGGAGATCAATAGCAGCTACCATTTATTGTTTCTGCTGGAGGTAATTTTAATAATAACCTTGGTGATAACTTGCCTCTTACCGAGACAGATGTTGACTGCAGTAATAATTCCTTGAAAGGGGCATGAAAAACAAGCCTATACCTGCAATCACGACCACTGGAAACCCCTGACAGTTAGCCTTGTTTGGGGGGACAAAACAGGAGCGGAAAGTGCTGTCCACAGTGCCTTCCCAAATGAACGCGCTGCCAACGCGCGGCTGCCTCACCTGAGTTGAGATGCAGCACGGACTGGGCTTTTGAAGGTCTTGTGGGATGACGGACTTTGCCTTCTTGAGAGCAACCTGAAATCAACCAATGATAATAGATTAAATATTAATCATATTTGGTTGATTAATCAATGACCAGTGGCAGCCATGGCCTGCCCAAGTGCTGAATTCCTTGAATTAAATAAAGGCTTGGGCTTGCAAGTAAGTGTCAGCCAAGATGAATTAGGTATGGTGTGGAAATGCCCTGTAGGCCCGGGGCAAGTGCTGAGGCTTTGCTGCCTATAGAAGCTCGAGATGCCTTGGCTCAACCTTTTTTTTGTTGTGCAGCTAGTCAGGCTTGTTCTCTGCTGAGTTTATTTTGATGGCCTCTTTCCCGAGCAGAAAATGGTTTAATTTGCAGCACTTCATCTGCTAAACAAGTACTTACTGCAGTGCTTGGGTGAGGGGCATTCAACAGATAGGCAGCCCTGTGAAGTCTGAGCACAGGAAAGGTCAAAGTGAGGCAGGCAGCGCTGGCCTGTGCTCAGAACTGGTAATGGATGGAGGAGGCCAACTAGGGGCCTGACGAGGTTGCAGCAATGGTGAGTCTCGGGTATGAAGCCCAGCAGAAAATCTCTTGGCTAGAAGGCCCTCTGGGTGGAGATGCCAGATTGCCTCACTCAAACCAAATCTGACCCAGAATTTCCCAAACATAGTGCTGAGGTTCTCCTGATGACTGGAAGTATAATACAGTGTCCACCTGAATGGAGGTTTGCCCAGGGCAATGAAATTCTGTTTCAGATTCTGATTCAACGTGCTGGGGGAGCCTGCAAACTACAAAGGGCCCAGAAGGACAGTTACCGTAGATTTGCTTGAGCACCGAGTGTCTGGTGGACCTTGTGCCTGAGCTGCTCTTGGATGGGTTCTTGGCGGCCCTGCTTACTGCAATGGTCTTGGGGGGTTTTAGTTGCAGTTCCTTCCTCCAAACCTGGAGGAGCAGTGCCATGCACTCTCGGCCCCATCTGTCCACATTTCTGGCTCCGTGCTGCTTCATGTGCAGAAGGTGGGACAGGTGCTTCCTGAGCTGGTAGCTGGTGGGATCAGACAAGGGGAGAAGCTTTAAGATCACAGCAGTGAGGAAACAAAGTGTCCTTAAGGTTCCTAGAAGGTATAGGAATAGTGTCTGTTGAACTTGGGAGGCGCATTTCAAGCTCCCATTCCTGCTTTGAGTGGCAGTACACTGAATGCTGACTTCTGTGTTTTCCACCCAACAGTTCCTGAATCAGGAATTGATAAGATAAGTCCTTACCCTCAAAACGGGACAAGCCAGTGTGTAAACACAGTCTAGGAAGTACTGAGCAAGGAGCCAGGTGGCAAGAGACAGATGTGGGACTGATAATTTGCAGTGGTTTGCTGAGACTTCACAAAGCTGATATTTGTGCTGGTTTTCAACGGCTGAGTAAGCACTTAACAGTCAGAGGTATGGGAATTCGTACAGAAAGTCAGTAACCAGATGTGTATGAAGCCTGTCTATGTGCCAGGGGAAGGTGGTTGGAATGCTGAGCTGCACTGGAAGAAGCTACCAAGTGCTCAGGACCTGCTGTATTCCAGGCACTTTCCCCATCATCAATCCTTAAACTAAGCCTGTTACGAGTCTGATAAAAGCTGAGTTGTGGTGACATCACCAAAATGGTGACAGGTCACTGCTGACTTCACTCTCCTTCACCAAAAGAACCAGTAACTGTAGATAAGACCCCACTGAGGAAGTCCTAGAAAACAGGATTTCTAGGGTCTAGAGGCTGAAGAACCCCCTGGACCACAGAGACCAAGACAGATGACACTGAAAGGGTACGAGGAGTGGGTACGTGATAACAGCATTGCCTGCCCCCCAGGCCAGCACAGCACCACACTGGGAGGTCTGCCTCGGGCCTTCAGCTCCTCCATTAGGAAAAGAGAACCCACAGCACACGTCCAGCTCCCCAGCATTGCAAGTTGCTTTTTGGGAACCCCTGCTCCAGTCTTGCCCCATGGGGCCTGTACTGGGAATCTGATTGTGACACAGAAGAGGGGAGGGGCTTGTAACAACCAGCACATGGGTCCTTGTAGACCGAGTTCCTTCCTGCAGCATCCAAGCAGTAGTCCCCGCCAGTAGCTTTACTCACCTGTAGAGCCAAGATAGTGGCACAGTCTGATCAGGGAACTCAGCAGGATGTAGGTGTACCTGATTCAGTCCTTAGAGTCTTGCCGACCTTGGAGCTTAGTCTGACCTCACCCAAGTAATGATAGCTCAACTCTGCTGATTACATACTGCTCCTGGCCCCTGCCTGGCTAGAGATCCTGGCCAGACCACCTGGAAGCTGCATAGCCCTGCAACACTCAGGCAGACAGTATGGCAGGCTGAGCTGATCATCTGCAGAGCAAGGCCAATAATGCCATTTGGCCAGGGAACTTGGGGAGCAGGTTGGCTTGAATTGGGACTGCAAAGAGCCTTGCTGCCCTTGGAGATCAGTTCTCTCACTCTGCCTGGGCAGGGAAAGTAATTTATAGCCCCAGCAGTTGCTGAATACAGTGTAACTACAGCACAGAGGGACCTGCACAGCCCATCCAACAGCCCTTCTTACAGTGGTACTTGAACAAAGAGCACAGCCGGTGGCTTTGTCTGGCCAGGGTTATTCAATGCATAGTCTTGCCTGATTTGAGTACCCCAGTGGTGAGCTCTGCGGGCTGTGGGGCCTGTCCTGCTTCCCTGCCAGGGCAGGAAAGCTAATTCATAGCCCTGCCTACTGCTAATAGAACCCAGCCTCAACTGTCTGTAAGCCTGATCAGACAACCAGTGTAAGTGCAGAGCTCATCCTACAGTCGTGACTGCACAGGGAACTGAGCCAGTTGTCCTCTCCACTCTTCTTAGCCGGTGGCACCCCACCCCCACCCTCAGAACTTGGGCAGTAGCCCTGTCCAAAAACAGACAGCAAGCCTCCCCTGCCAAGAACTTAACCAGTAGACATGTCCAGAAACCCAACTAAGCTGACTGGTGAAGAAGTGTCTCCGCCAAAGCAAATCTGCAGGAAACTGCTTACCCAAATGTGCTGATACCAACTTAAGGAATCAAGAATCATGAAAAATCAGGTAAATATGACACCATCAAAAGAAACTAAAGAAGTTCTGATAACCGACCTTCAAGAAATGGAGATCTATGAGCTGTCAGAAGGAAATTCAGAATAATTTTCTTAAAGAAGTTCAGTGAGTTACAAAGAATACAGACAACTAAACAAATTAGGAAAACAATGCATGCATGAACAAATGAGAAGTAATTCAACAAAGAAACAGACACAACTAGAAGAAAAGCACCGAACAAATCCTAGAGCTAAAAAAATATGACTGAACCAAAGAATTCAATGGAGTATTGAATTGAAACTGAAGAATTCAAAAGCAGACTTGACCATACAGACAAAAGAATCAGTGACCTAGAAGACAGGACATTTGAAAATACCCATTCAGAGGACCAAAAAGAATAAAAAAGTAAAAAGGAGCCCGCAGGACTTAAGGGACACAATTAATAGACACAATATCAACACTTGGGAATTCCTGAAAGGGAAGAAAAAGAAAGGAATAAAAAATATACTTAAAACAAATGGCTGCAAATTTCCCAAACCTGGGAAGAGAAATGGACATCCAGATTCATGAGGCTCAAAGAACCTCAGATGGGTTGGACCTGAATAGGGTTACACTGAGACACATTGTCATTAAATTGTCAAAAAATCAGACAATTTTGAAAGCAGCAAGAAAAAAGAGAAGTTAACAAAACGGACTGCTGGCAGGTCTCTCAAAAGAAACTTCAGAAACCAGAATGAGACAGTATATTTGAAGTATAGAAAGAAAAAAAAAAAAAAAGGCTGTCAACCAAAAATTCTGTACCAGGCGAAGCTGTTCTTCAGAAATTAAGGAGGAAGACAGACTTCCCCGAACAAAGGAGAGTGCAGGGAGTTCATCACCACTACACCTGCCTTACAAGAAGGGAGTTCTTTAAGTGGAAGTAAAAGGATGCTTATTAACATCATAAAAACATAAGGTCATGTGAAATTAACTGGTTATAATGAACATATTGTCAAAGTTAGATTCTGTAGTATAGTAATGGTGGTATGTAATTCACTTACAACTCTAGTTTAAAAATTAAGGTAGGAAAATAACTAATGACAATAATCTGTTATTGGATATATAGTATAAGAATGTCTAAGCTGTAATATCAATAACTTAAAATGTGAAGAAGCAGGGGGAGAGGTGAAAGTGTGAAGTCAGGAACGCCTCTCAAAGTTAAATTGCTCCCAGTTCAAAGTAGGGCGTTATAATCTTAAGATATTTTCTGTATGCCCCATGGTAAACAGAAGGGAAAAACCTGTCCAAGTTATACAAAAGAACATAAAGACATCAACGCACACTAATAACAAAAAGCGTGAAAGAAAAACAGTTAACAAAATGGCAATGAGTCCTTGCCTATCAATTATTACCTTAAACATAAGTGGATTAAATTCTCCAACCAAAAGACACACAGAATGGCTGATTGGATTAAAAAAAAAACATAGGGGGACCCCCAAAAAACCCTTTATTTATTTAAAAAAGTGTATTTACTCTTACAGGTTTAAACCTTAAATAACTTCAAAGTACCCTCCATTTAATGCAATATACCTATGGAGACTTTTTTCCACCACTGCTCAGACCAGTTTTTGAACTCATTGATTTTGATGCCTTTTAGTGCTTCTGCTGTTATTTTGTTTGTTTGTTTCACCTCTTCCACATCATCAGCAAGACATTTCCCTGTGAGGGCTTTTTTAATCCAGGGCAACGGAAAGTTGCTCAGGGTGAGATGGGGTGAATAGGGAGGGTGGGGCATGGGGGCCATAGCATTTTTGGTCAAAGACTGCTGAACACTCAGCACAGAGTGGAGAGTGGGCTCATAAATTGCCTGTCATGAAATGAGCAAACGTATTTTGTGTCTTCAAAAAGAATTGACTGAAGCTGAATTCAGCTTCTTACAATGAGGCCAGCTGTACACTGATACAGATGGGTTCCTAGAAGACTCACCTAGCAGGGGGAGCCTGTACTACGGGAAGCCCACCCTCCAGAAGATAATTCCAGTTTTTTGGGGGGTCCTCCCTTGTGGGCTGAAAATAAAGGGGTGGAAAAAGATATTTCAAGCAAATGGCAACCCCTCAAAAATATTAGTGGTAGTTTATACACTTACAGCAGATAAAACAGACTATAATGTTAGTAAAAATTAACTCCTTCATCCATCACAGTGTTAGGCTATGAAGAAGACATAACAATTTAAAATATGCACTCAACATGACAGCATCTAAATATATAAAAAACAATAATTAACAGTGTTAACAGAGGAAATAAACAGCAATACAATAACAGCTGGGGATTTTAATGCTCTATTCTCAACTGGATCGATCATCCAGACACAGAATCCGTCACTGCACAACACTATAGACCTCATGGACCTAAAAGATATACACAACATTCTATCTGACTACAGCAGTAGATACATTCTCAAGCATGCATGGAACATTTTCTAGCATACGCCCTGTGTTAGGCCACAAAAGTATTGCCAAATCCAAGAAGACTGAAATCTTACCTGGTATCTTCTCTGACCAAATGGTATGACACTAGAAATCAATGGGAGTTAAACAACAGTTTCCTGAACAATCAATGCATCAAAGAAGAAATTAAAGGGCAAATTTTAAAAGTATCTTGAGAAAGAAATGACATACCCAAAGTTCCGAAATGCAGCAATTTTAAGACAAATTATTAATTTTTTAGAGAGAGGAAGAAAGCGAAACATTGATTTGTTGTTCCACTTATTTCTGTATTCATTGGTTGATTATTTTGTGTGCCCTGACTGGGTATTCAAACTGGCAAATGTGGCCTGCTGGGATGATGCTGTAACCAACTGAGCTACCCAGCCAGGGCCCAGTGAAAGCAATTCTGGGGGTGAAGTTTATAGCAATAAATGCCTGCATTAAGGAACAAGAAAAATCTCAAACAACCTAACCGTATAACTTAATGAACTAGAAAAAAAAATAAAGTGATC